GTTTGAAGTAACTTTGCGTGGTTTCCCATCTAGAAAAGAATCAGTAAAAGTTTTTTTCAGACTGACTCTATCTGCCGTTGTTTACTTGTACGCGCTTAGTGTGGATAAGTCTGTCGACGAGGCATACTGGATTTTCAAGAGGGAATACGAGAAGGTGAATATAATGTATCGTCGTCGATTAAGATAGAGAAGTATTCTCAGTAACTGGTTTTCTAGGATCTTCGTCAGGCTCGAGAATGGGATGAAAGGGTGACGGAACTGATGCAGAAGGAACGTATTTACTGGAGAGGAAACGCAGCTCAGAAGTTGAAAAAACTTGATGAAGAAAAGTTGGCTCAACAAGACGCTTAACATTCGCGTGCCTTAGAGTTTTGCTCTGTTAGAGGTATTCCCCCTTGTTATTGTAGTTAGCATACTAGTGGAACTTCTAGAACCTGGATCCCATAACTTGTTTTTCGCTCAGACTATCGCAAATTCAGCTCACTTTCATGGAGGAGGAAGCTCCGTAGTTGATTAACAAGTGAGAGCGACGCCTACACCTCTCCCCAGCGACCTGCCTGATATCACCAGGTGCTGCCACGCGCAACCTCGAGTTTCGTATCCCACGCGCTTTTCAAACCTGTCCAAGATACGCCGAATTTTATGCGTCCACAGCCCAACACCCAATTTCACGCTCATATTTCAAGGGTACTGTAGACACCCTAACTCCCTGAAACTGTAGTTTTATGGATGTGCCTCCTGTTCCCACTGGGTACAGTAGCGTTGTGCGAAACCCATCAAAAGGGTCGGTCGTATTTGATCATGAGCGGAAGAAGATTGTATTTGCCTTTCGAGGGAAGTTTTCCCCTTTCCCTGATTCCATTGTTCACTTTTCGGTCTCAGCACATTGTCAACTTATTTTCCTGGCATCAAATGCTCGGCCAGAAGACGCTCTGAGGAAATACCCCCACACTCTTGCAGCCAGAGAATATCTAAATGTGAATGCAATGAGGCTAACAAAAGAATTGCCCCGCTCCACGCGCGCCATACATCTCATCCTGGCTTGAAGGCAAGCCTTGCGAAACAATCTGGTAAAGTAGTAGGTTAAGAAG